TATCCTCCAAAACCCTAATCTAAAGTTACCTACGTTTTTTCTGTGTATCTCAGACCATCTTAATAAAAACTCACCACTAGGCATCAAACAAGATCATAGAGACCTTGTTATCACTACAAGAAATTACGTCTTTAACGAAGGGATTTCCCTTCGTTAAAGAGCTGAAAACCTTCGTTATTGTATGCTAACGACGGGGAAAAATCCCTTCGTCACCCGTTGTTGAAGCCCTCTTCGCTAAAGGGTCACGAAGGGATATACTACCCGTCGTTATAGAGTCTATAACGACGGAACATATTACCGTCGTTAATATTTACGACGGTAATTATTACCGTCGTTACCATCAGTAACGGGGATAGATGACGACGGCGGTGCTGGGATTTGCTGCAGCAACGTCGAAAGGTGGGCGGACTGGGTTAGCTGCCGACGATGGGGCGGCGGGCAACGTCGGGGAGGCGACGCTGGAGCAGCGGCGGCGCTGGGATGATCGGCGGCGTGAAGGTATTGACGAAGAAGATGAAGACTTTTAGAAAATATAAGCTAGGTTAATTTATTGATATGGCGGCTGAGAGATAATTAATTAGTCAGAAGTTTGGGAATTGTAGAATACGGGTTCGGGTTTGGGGATTTGTATTGTGGGTATTGTTAATTAATAGTAATAGGTTTAACTATCATTCCTATTATGATTAGGAGTATCATCAATGATGGTGATGGAACCCTTCGTTATTCAGGAGACCCAATAACGACGGTATTAGGATTAAATTAATGAAGGGACTAGAAAACCGTTACCCATCTCACATCATTCCTATAATATTTGTAATCACTCGACGAAGGCTTTAAAAACCCGTCGTTATTACATACACATTAACGACGGTCAACTGGTCCCTTCACTAATTTTGGTCGTTAAATATCAGATTTCTTGTAGTGTATTGAGTCCAATCTCACATACTCAATTCTGTAAGTTTTTTCGTGCATCAACAAATGTAAATGTTAACCAAAATCAAATTTGAGTATGAGTCAGTCAGTCTATATAATCATTTAAACTTTACTTGATACGGACTTGCCTTCACGCTTAATTAAATATCAAATTTATTATTGCTTTGATAGTGGGATATCCAAAATCTGATATGTATCTGATAATGACAAGTACGTAGAATTTGGATCCAAATCTCAAGCCTACAGAAAGTCCTAGTCCAAATCCAGATGAACAGAATTAACGGTGCCTAAACTTGTCATTAACAGTCAATTAGTGGGGCTAAATCAAAATTAAAGACCCCATTATACGGAATACTGTACTAGTCATATAACGTGGTCAACAGTGACCAGGTTCATTTCATGACGGCGCTTTTAATTTTAAGCCTATCATTAGACTATTAGAGTAACCTTTGCGTTGATTTGATAACCACTACTTTTATGTGATCTTTGGATGCAGCACAAGGCACGCGACTGTACGTGGAGTGTGAATAACTTCATGTTGACAACCGCATCAAGCACGCTGTTGAACATAAAAGAGAACTTTAGCTTAGCAACAAAGAAGGTATTTATATGGAATATTCCTAGTGGTGTAAGTGGGATAATTATTCCAGTGGAATATTTTTATCTCTTTTTTGGGATATTTTAAGTGGTGTAAAGTGGGACAATTTAGGATAATGAGACAATTCGAAGCTTTGATTGACAATTCATGTGGGATAATTGATGATGTGACACCTTGTTAAAGTAGAATAGTTATCTATCAATTAAGTCTAAATTAATTTACCTAATTGGTTTAACATATTATTTGGTATGTTATTATATTGTAATACATTATTTTACTTTATACGAAATATAATATATTATACTATAATTACTAATTAATTATAACTATATTTAATGTTATTAATTAATTTAATATAATATATTATAATAATATGATATATTATATAATAATTGATATAATATACAAACAATATATTTAATATAATATTTCAATACTATAATATTTAACCAAATATTATAATATTTTATTTAATTCAATGTAATATTATTTAAAATATTAAAATATAATATTTAATTTTAGTTTATGATAATTACTATAATTTAAATAGAATAATTGATGACATGGATCCTTATTAAAATATTATATTTATAATAATCATAATATACTATTAATATGTTCAATAATATTAATTAAAAAATATTATTAAATAATATAATATAATATATTAATTATATATATATTATCATACTTTAATATATAGTAATTTATTATAATTTTTATTATAGTAATAAAATATTATTTATAATATATGAAATATTATTAACCAATATGTAATAATGATATATAATAATGTTATATTAGATAATATTATATAATATTTTGTTATCTTGTGTTATAATAGAATTTTATAATATAATATAATTAAGGTATATTATATATTAATTTACAATTAACATATATTAGATATTTAATAAATTAGTGCTTTAAAATATCCAACTTTCCTCATGATTGTTCCAAAGTTAAGAATGAAGTAATTTTTAGAGGTTGAGACAAAAAGTTTGTATAGAAGTGGGATAATTTTGGGAAAAGTGGGGGTAATTGTCTCAATCTCATTGTCCCAATAAATAACAACTTAAAGTAAAATCTCAACCTGATTGTCTCAATGAATAACAGTATAAAGTAAAGTTCCAAAAATTATCCCACTTACTCCAAAATTACACCAACCAATAACCCCCCTAATATGTTTTTTTCACTTTACACGTGGATGTTACTTTTGGTGTGTCCATATTAGATAATATGTGTTCACATTCCGGTTAATGTGAAATGTCCAATTATTATCAAGGGTTTTTGAGATTTTGATCCTCGATCAAAATCTCATCTATATATTTTGAAAAAAGTTTTCCAATATTTGATTTTTTACTCTAAGCTTCTAAAAATCCATAAACTACTCCAAATAAGGGTGTAATGGTTCGGATACAATCGAATATGATACTTATCATGTCCATTCTGCTTACCAATCACGGATATGGATACAAATACGAATATGTCTTGGTAAGGAAAAATTCATATCTATATCTGCTAATGTCAGATACGATTATGGATATATATATGTGGATACTAAATGAATATGAGAAAACTAGATAATATTGAAATATGTCATATGATACAAAAGAGTTCATTAGTATGTTCATCATATATGAAAAACAAAAATTAGATTGTTTGATCATCAAAATTAACCTTAGATCCATTAATTTAGCAATAAAAATCATTGCAACTGTATGACAAACATTTATTTGGATGTTTCGAATACAAATATGTATATTGCAACTATATCCAATCAAATATAGAAATTTAGTAACCATATTTGTATCATAACAGATAAGGGTTGGTATATTAGCTTGGATATAGCTTTTTCTTTTCTTTCTTTTTTTTTTTGGTGTGTTTGGCACCCCTAACTCCAAACCTGTCGTTGCAATTTTTTAGTTTATTTCTAAAATAACATATCACCAGTTAGTTTTTCTGTTTTTCCGTCACACCCTGTCTTCAATCCCTCACATTTAAAAGATAATGAAAGCAATAAAAATCATTAAAATTCACTCTAATAAAAATCATTAAAATTCACTCTATGTTAGTGATTAACTAAGATTATATTTTCTTTTTCTTCTTTCTAAATTCATACCTTGGAAAGAAATGGAGGACTTCTAGAACTGGTTTAACGTTGAATTTGAGAACATTTGACTTCTAGATTTGTGTGTATTCAGTTGATCCACTTTCAAGGTCAACTCCATATGATAATTTGAGGTCAACAACAAGTGCGTGTTGCCGAACTCCTGGTAAGGACGGGTTGACCAAAGCATAATGTGAATGGGTCTTAAAATAATTTGAGTTTTTCCTTTCTTTTTTTTGGTGAAGTATTCTCATCAATTCATCGATCATTCAAAACTAATGTGAGGCTTCTGGAAAATGTTTGACAATTTTAAGATTAATTCCTTGTGATGAGTCAATTCTAATTTTTACTTGATAATGCTAATTATCGCTGCGTGAAGATTTTTTATATGCGAGATTTCGTAATAATGTCACGCAATTAATGCGCGCGAGAAGTTTTTTTGATACAAAATGAGTGATGCCATATCGAGTTTAATAATATAAGAAAAGAGGTCGTAGAAATTATAAATGTTCTCAATACTAATACGCAACTATCACTAGTAGAAAACAGGGCATTGGCGACGGGGAAATCTGTCACCAATACCCCAAAATCCGTCACCAATACATATTGGTGACGAAAATGGATCCGTCGCCAATAAATCCGTCGCCAATAAGTATTGGTGACGGGTTTCCCGGTCGCCAATACTTATTGGCGACGGACGACTATTGGTGACGGATTTCTTTGGCGACGGGTAAATCCGTCGCCAATGTTTAAACATTGGCGACGGATTCCCCCATCGCCAATGCACATTGGCAACGGAGAAATTCATCACCAATACCTAAAACATTAGCGACGGGGGTTTACCCGTCGCCAATGTTTTAAGCATTGGTGACGGATTTCCCCGTCGCCAATGCTTATTGGAAACGGAAAATCCGTCGCCAATGCTTAAAACATTGGCGACGGGTAAATCCCCGTCGCCAATGTTTTAGGCATTGGCGACGGATTTCCTCGTCGGCCAATGTATATATGTACGTAAAAAAAATTAATTTTCTGGTAACCTCCCATACGATAATACACATATAACATGTATCGACATCAATCCAATGATAATATTTAACAATATATCATAAAATCAACCATGATATACATTCACATTCCAAATGAATACTCATCCAATTTCATCCGTCAATCCACAATATCGAACAATACTCATCATATAATCACAATCATAATACATCTCGCATGCTCAAATAATATTCATTCACTACACAATAAAATCACAATTATATTACATATAGGTAAAATTTAAAAGTCATAATATGTCTTAACACAAGTCTCACTCACTCCTCGTCATCGTCGTTGTCGACATCCTTGTTACATCATCGTCTGCATTAGAACGTCGTATCGTACTGCTGCTCCCTACGAGAGTACCTCCTCTAACCTGAAAAGATTATCACTCCACATAAGATATATACCAAAAATATCATAATAAATACATATATGTCACGTCATATATACCTCTCCACCACCATGAACTTCATGCTCGTCAAACGCCAAAAAATATCATAAATTAGAAATTCTAATTAGAAATACATGTGTGCAAATATGAATAAATTAGAAAGTTAATAGTTTAAAGATTATTCCCTGTGTTATCATTTATATTCATTGCACCACAAGTAAAAACAAAATAAATATATACCATGTAAATTACTCCTTTTATTTGATTAAGAAAAATTAATATATACCATGTAATTTTTAACAGGTTGGATCAATGAACTATATCTGAAAAATAAGAAGAGGAAAGAGATAAATGTTTCACTAACTATTCGAAAGGTCTCTTTTACATGATAGAAAACTCTTGCAAGTGCTATAGAGATTTCATACATTAAAATTCCAACTTCTAAACCAATATCGAACCACGCAAACAAAATGAGGACTCTCCATTTGATTTTGAACAAGCTTTTCAGTTTCGACAACTCGAAGCATGTTTAACTCTCCACGTTGCAAACTTCTACAAATATCAATAAATAAATAAAAACATGTATAAGAACATGTTATGGATTAACTAGTCCAAAAAGATTCAATAAATTTCATCAAATCTGCAAAGAGAGATATAAGCAAAACAAATTCCTTTGTTAATGCTATACCTGCACTTCTACTTATCTGCATGACTCTGAGCTCTTTGGACTTGATCCTCCTGTATCTACACATTCAAGTATATATATTGCCTATTTGATGAGAACTGATACCTAATTTGAGATGTCAATAAATCGCTATAAGAACAAGTTAATTTATGATCATACCGAAAATGGATGAGGAAAATAAAATTGTCAATTTGCTTGCATCATACTATAGTAAGGAGGACGCTTTAGTACTGGAAATGTATAGTCACCTGGTTGATTTGTTTGAAAACCTTGATACTGCTACAATATACGTTCAAAATAATTATAGAAAAAGAGAAATATAATGATAGTTGTTAAATATTTTTTGAATAAACCAAACCTGAATAACTTGTTGAAATCCCAACCCCTCATTCATCAAAGAAAATTTGAACCCCTCATTTGCTCCCCGTGAAATTCTCACAAATCACACCGCGAGTGACCAGACCCAATTATCAATGCTCCCCGTGAAACTCTCCTCCGGTCGCCGCCTCCAGATGTTCACCACCCTCCTCCGCTGCAAATATATAGAAATAAATACTATATTAGAAAATAGAATCGAATTAATTACCAATCTGGTAATTTGGCCTACCTCTCCCATTGCAACACTATAATTACAGGGCCATGATTATCCACCAAAATAATGTAACTATCCGTGCTCTATCCACCAAAATTACAGGGCCATGATTATAAGATTCAACACTAACAAAATACCAAGCGATCCATAAAAAATGATGTATGTTTATTTCTATTCTTTGCGTTTAGCCAGCGAAATAAGTAATCACAAGCCTCATAAATCAACAAAACTGCAAACAAAAGTTCAGATCATAACTTTCTTCTAAAAAAACTAAATAATGAACAAAAAAATAGGGGGAAAATAGGGTTTTGAGAGAAGGAATACTCGGTGGTGGCCTATTTTTTTCGAAGGAGCCGCCAAGGGTTTTGGTAGAGTTGGGAGGTGAGAGACGGGGGTGCTGCGTGGAGACGCTGCGGGTGCAGCGCGTGTGCTGGAGGTTTCTTCAGCGAGAGGAGTTGCTAGCGATCGTTCTGGAGAGATTTGGGGGTTTGGAGATAGAGAGGGGTTTGCCCGTTTGGGCGGTTTTTAGAGAGAGCGGGGAAATGAAAACAGAAGCGAAATGAAAACAGAAGGCGGGAAATGAAAAAGGAGGCGGGAAATAAAAAAAAAGTAATTTTTTTAACATTTATCCTTCAAAATAAATTAATTTTTTAGTATATGTTAATAAAACATATAAGTAAATAAGTCCTCAATTAACTTAATGAAATTTAAATTAATACTTCAACGGTTGAGGATCCATGTAAGAGATAATGGACTAGAAGAAGGTCGTGAGGACATTCCTTCACGTAAAAAAATAAATATAAATGTGAAATATGCATATTTATACCACAAACACAATTTATTTAAACAAATGATATTATATACCTAATGATGAACATGTTTGATTGTGGGAAACTTTAATTGCTTGTTTTCAAAGAGGTTTGATTTTGGAATATTTTACCAGATTCTGCAATGCTTTGCGATAAAATGTGGCAATAATATGCTTTATTGTATATATATATAAATATATTATATATATATATATAATATATATAAATATATATATACTATATATATATATAATATATATATATATATATATAATACTAACTGAGATTAATGGTATTCTTTTCATAGGAGGGATTTTCTCCTTGGACGCCTATGTGGCACAATCCCCATCATTCTGCATAAAGTAGAGAGAGAGTGTGTGAGTTGGTGGATTTGCCTACTTTATGAGAATGATGGGATTGTGCCACATAGACAGCCAAGAAGAAAATTTCCTCCTATGATAAGGATACGCCATTATATCTCTTCTCTCTCTCTCTCTTAATATATATATTATATATATATATTATATAATTATAATATATATATATAATATATATATAGTATATATATATATATATATATATATATATATATATAATATATATAATATATAAATATATATATATATATGAGATTAATGGTTACCTTGTCATATGGGGGATTTCTCTCTTGACCTTCTAAAATCAATATGATTGAACACATTATGATGATCCGCTCCGTTGAACTCGATGCTACATATTTAAAACCGCAACACACCAAGTTGGGGTGAATCCGTCATCGTTTGACCCCTCCATCGAGCATGTGAAAGTTCTATTCATTCAAACGTTAAAATTGATACGAGTGGATGAAGGGTCAAATGACGACGGTTCACCAAAACTTGTGTGTTTGGAGTTTTAGAATATGTAGATCAAGTTCAACGGAGCGGATCATCCACAATGTCGCTCAATCATGTGATTTTAGAGGCGTCATAGGAGGAAATCCCTCCTATGACAAGGATACCCATTAATCTCTCTCTCTCTCTCTCTCTTCTCTCTCTCTCTCTCTCTTCCTCTCTCTCTCTCTCTATATATATATATATATGATATATATATATAATATATATTATATATATATATATATTATATATATATATATATATATATATATATATATATATAGTTTGTTTTGACCTACTATCTTTAGCAGGCTTATGTATATATTTTGAGTTGAGGTACGTGACATAAAGTGTCAAGCTTGACTCGTACACGGGACTTGGCTTGTGCAAGGGTTGATCTTGTCTCGTGACCCGTGTTTATGAATATTCACTATAGTTTCGGAGCGTGACAATTTTCAAATCATCGAATCTGCTAGCATAAAGAGTAAAAACAAAATTTAAAACTAACATAGAACCCCAAATCCATTAAAAATTTTTTTCTCCAATATATATCATATTCCTAATTAATTAAAAATGGCTATGATAAGTTCTGGTATATTATTAACAATATTAATATGGTTACATGTTCATGACACGTATAACTAAAAATGATCTCCTAGGTATCTCACCATTTTCTCATTATTTTTACTTTTCACAATATTTTCTCTAAACTAATCAAAGTCGTCGCCAAAAAACTCACGAATACTTATCGAATATCAAAGTATATCTATTCCCGCCTAAAGAATTTTAATATTTTTGAGTATTAAAGTTTTATACTATATTATTGATGTGCTTTAACAATTCTAGATGTGCTTTAACAATTTAACATAAATTTGGTGGACTACATTTTAAAATATTATAGATTGACGTACTAATAGCTAAAATAATTCTTAATATTTGTTATGGGGCCACTCATTAACAATGCGATAATTATATAACTAATGTATATTTTTTTACGGATGGCACAACATAGCATGATAACGGACCGAATTTCGCTGTCGCTAATTAAGTATTGGCCGAACGGGTCAAATCCCTCGACCAATAGTTCATTGCAACGATCGCATCCGTCCGCCAATACACGATTTGATCCGTCCGCAATAGTATGGCGACAGATTTGATCCGTCGCCAATAAGTATATTTTGCGACGCGATTCGATTCGGCGCAATGTGTTCCGTCGCTTAATACTTTATTGCGCGACGGACACTATCCATCCTAATAAGTCATTAACGACGAGAACTTGCGCCGCGGCCGGGACGCGATCAGATCTGTCGCCTAATATCTATTGGGCGCGCGGCACGACCAAGCGCATGTACGGAAGACTGTGTCGGCAATGTTCCGTCCCCAATACTATTTATCCGACGGAACATTAGCCGCACGGATTTGACAATCTGTCGCCAATATTATGTGGTAACGGATCTGATCCGTCGCCATACTAAGTATTGGCGACGCGATTTTTTCCGTCGCCAATGCTTTTTTCGCTCGCGCCCCAAGGTTATGGGCGACGGAAAATCATTGGCGACGGATTGAAATCCGTCGCCAATACAAACATTGGCGACGGAACAAACCTCGTCTCCAATGTTCCGTCGCCAATGTTTGTATTGGCGAACGGATTTGAAATCCGTCGCCAATACCCCGTCGCCAATGCTCAGTTTTCTACTAGTGTATGATCTCTCAAGAATCTAGGCCAATTGAATTGGAGATTACTTTGTTACTTGTGTTCAATTGATTTTTCCCCCCTACGGTTTGGTTAGAGTTGATTAGTGCTATTTGGAGTTCATCTTCTTAACTTGAGTTTGATTGGTGGTCTTTGGATAGTTTAACCATCAAGTGAAAAACATAGACATTGCGTTTGAGCCCTCGGGCAGAGTGCACCTTGTTCAGCTCTGGTGAAGTTGATACCTCTGTTAAATTTTAGATTTTTATTTATTTATTACAATTATCACTGCTTGTTGAGGACATGACGAGATAGAATTACTGATAATGCCTTATTCTAGTGACCATGAATTGTTGTACTCAAAAAACTTTTCTTTGGGGAGGATGTGTTGTTGATATATATGTTGCTATAGTTCTTTGAAATAGGTATATTAGAACTTTACATTCATAATTTTCTATTTAGTTGGTTACTGTTCTATCAACTTCTGTTAGTTTCTTGTTGGGGATTTTATGAAGATTAATATGCGGAATTAATCACTAAACGAATAACGACACCAATGAAAAATACTACAAGCAAGCAAACACCAAGATTTAACGTAGTTCGGCAAATCGTGCCTACAGTACAATCCCTCCAAGTTACACCTGAACTTGAGGATTAAATCACAAGAGAAAGATACAGTGTTACCTCTAGGGCATCAAAACCCTAAAACTCGTCTCACCAAAAATCTCCAACTCCCGCGGAGAAATCAACACCGTACCCTCAACAGCGTCGTCGTTCTGAAGACAACGACATAACTCTGTCTTCTCTCTGAAAACGGTCAATATTTAACTCCTCAATGGGAGTTCATGCCGGCCAATCACCGACATAACTCTGTCTTCTCTCTGAAAACGATCTTCGTTAAAAAATCTGCTGGATTTTCATCTGTGTGAATCTTCTGTAACTTTAGCTCCTCTTTCTCAACAGCTTCTCTAAGCCAATGATATCTTACATCGATGTGTTTTGTTCTGGAGTGGAATGTAGAATTCTTGCTCAAATCAAGAGCACTTTGACTATCAATGAAGATTTGATAATTGTCCTGCTACAAGCCTAACTCATGCAGAAATCTTCTCAACCAAATCATCTCCTTACCGGTTTCTGCAGCTGCAATATATTCCCCCTCTGTTGTAGATAAAGCAACACACTTCTGCAACCTGGACTGCCATAATACTGCTCCCCCTGCAAAAGTGAACAACCAACCTGAGGTAGACTTCCTGTGATCGAGATCACCTGCCATATCTGCATCTGCAAAACCATATAATACTGCCTTCGAACCTCCAAAACTCAAACACAATCAGGAACTGCCTTTCAAATATTTTAAGATCTACTTTACACCTTCCCAATGAACTTTCCCTGGATTAGAAAGAAACATGCTCACAACGCCAACTGCATGAGCTATATCTGGCCGAGTGCAAACCATGGCATACATCAAACTCCCTACAGCTGAAGAGTAAGGAATATTCTTCATCTCACTCTTTTCCTTATCTGTAGTTGGGCAAAATTTCTTGCTAAGCTTCAAATGTCCTGCAAGCGGAGTACTGACTAACTTAGCATCTTTCATGTTGAATCTATCAAGTAGCCGTTCAACATATTTCTCCTGTGATAACCATAACTTCCTGGCTTTCCTGTCACGAATAATATCCATACCAAGAATCCGCTGTGCCGAGCCTAAATCCTTCATGTCAAAAGCTTTAAATAACTCCTTCTTCAGCCCACCGATTATCTGACTATCCTGACCAACAATCAACATGTCGTCCTCATAAAGCAAAAGGATAATGAAGCTAGAATCTGAAATTCTCCTGAAATATACACACGAATCTGCAACTGTCCTCTGGTAGCCATGACTCGGTATGAAAGAATCAAATTTCTTGTACCACTGCCTGGGTGCCTGCTTCAAACCATATAGACTCTTCTTCAACCTGCAAACCATGTGTTCTTTTCCATGCCCTTCAAAACCTTCCGGCTGCTCCATGTAGATCTCCTCCTCCAAATCACCATGAAGGAATGCAATTTTTACATCAAGCTGCTCAATCTCGAGGTCTAAACTAGCTGCTAAACCCAAGATAACT